ACCCCAGTACAAACTTCCTGATACAGCAGATGTGGCTGCCCGTCTCTTGGCAGTGATGCATGCCAAACAGCTGTTTGCTCACGAGAACCAGGAGAGCTCAGTTTTCCTTAGAGAGATGTTTGGTAGCTTGGTGTGCATTTGTACTGCTAAATAACTTACATTTCTTTGTTGCACTGGGACCAGTTTCTGTCACACGCAAGAGCGTTACACACCAGGAGAGAGAAGAGGCATTTTTGCCTGAATCTCTTCTTCCCCCTCACTTCTGCGTTCCCTTCTTCACCTTCCTCCAGAGGAGAGAGCAACTTCAGAGCCAAGGAGCTCAGTTTCCACTAGAGAAAAACATTAGCAACTTGCAGTGAAAACTGAAGAGATGTAACTACTCGTGGACTTTTTTGGATTAGGAAAACAGAAACCCTGATTTAGTACCAGGAATATGCCTTTATCTGAAAAACAGCCAGGGAGGGAAGAGGCTTTTAAACTATCTTTTGGCAACAGCTCATACTAGGCCCCAGCATGCCTATCTATGGCTAATGGAGATAGTCGCTGTTGCAGCAATAATTTCAGAGCATAAAGCAGCGTCAGTAATTCTCCTGCAATTTTAATTTAAGGCCCCTTCACTGCAGGCATGCTGAGCACTGGCTTCTCCATGGACTATGCGTTAATGTTAGGAAAGGGGGAGATAGATTTTAAATTCATCTTACTTTGCATTGCAGCACTGTATATGTAGAAAGTACAGTTTATTGTGCCTCGCTCAGAGCTTTGCAGGCAACGTTGCACAAGGCAAATATACGTAACCCCCCTGGCCGGGGATAATCAACCAAGGATCTCCTCTTGAGTTTGCTGAGCAAAGCCTGGCATCCCTTCCACTGGCACCAGCAGGTCAGTGCTCTTGCTCACATTGTCCCACTTTGGTAACAACTGGAGAAACAGGCCAGGTTAGACCTTTCCTGCAGGTTTCCCTACCTGACTGACATGCCTAATGCTGCAGTTGACAGGACAGCTCTTCATCCCATCCCCTTACAATTCTGGCTCCTGACGCTGGCTCTGGCTTTGGAGTTTGACTCCTGATGCTGATCATGGCTCTTGATTCCTTGTTTCAGTTCACCTGGACGCTCTCGGTAAGTTACAGTGATCAACTGAACAGGGAATGGAGCAAATAACGGTCAGTGCAGAATACAGAAGATAACTGAGTAAGATGAGGGAGACCAATATTGCGACCACTAGTAGAGCACAAAGAAGAGATTAATATAACGATCACCATAAGCAATAAAGGACAAGAAACTCAACTTCTTGCCAGCACAAAGAGATGATCTGGACAAACAGTAGGAAACGCGTCACTGCAGCTGTGGCTGTGAGAGTAAAGGAAGTCAAGGAGAAAATTGCAGCAATCAAAACAGAGGACAGTTAGAGGCCATATGGGTGTACTTGGGTATCACAGACCAAGTGGGAAATCCAGATTTCATAGGTGTTGCGTTGCATCACAGGAAGAATTATGCAATTATCAAGGGGGACAGAGGGAACATAATGAGAATTTTGGGGAAACGTCATTAACCACACATGCTTTCTGTTAAGTTCTGCTCAAAACTTTACCTCTACTTCCCCTAAATTATTTTGTGCTTATCTTAGAGGAGCAGAACCAAAAAAAAATCCAAGTAGAATATGATTGAAAGTCAAAGAAATCAAGAATGACAAAGCAACAGACGCCTTAGAACTTTCTCAATCAGCGTATGTCTGCTGTGTTAACTGATTGCTCAGGGTTATTTATTCCCATGTTATTTAGGATAAGGCTTACGGATTCACAGACTGGTAGGGGTTGGAAAGCACCTCTAGAGATCATCTAGTCCAACCCCCCTGCTAAAGCAGGATCACTAAGACCATGTTGCACAGGATGGCATCCAGGCAGGTTTTTAATATCTCCAGAGACAGAGACTCTGCAACCTCTCTGGGCAGCCTGTTCCAGAGCTCGGTCACCCTCAAAGTGAAGAAGTTTTTCCTCATACGCAGATGGAACTTCCTGTGTTCCAGTTTGTGCCCATTGCCCCTCGTCCTGTCACAGGACACCACAGAGAAGAGCCTGGCCCCTTCCTCTTAACATCTGCCCTTTAGATATTTATAAGCATTAATAAGATCCCAGATTACCTATGTATTTCTCCTCTCACAAAGCCCACACAGCACTTAGGTGCCTCCTGCCTACCATGATCTCTGAGAAAATCAATTCCCAACCTTCTCAGCTAAGTCCCTCAGAAACCCCACAGCCCCCCAAAACATCTTTGCCAGCTCCTTCTCACTATTTTCTGCATAAAAGCATGAGACCAAAGCTATTCTTCCTGTACAGCGTTAGCCACATTGTTTGCTCTGAACATTCTTCCATTTACTTAGGCTTCACGTTCAGGAGCCTCATGTCTCTCTTCCGTGTATATTTTTAGGAAATCTGACTTCTGATATAGCTGACCTACTTCTCAGCTATGTCTCTGGATTATACCTGGGATGTGTCAGCACTGCTAGAGGCACGTCAGCAAAGTCCAAAAGAAGGAGACAAATTGCACTTGGAGACAGACAACTATCTGCACCACGTGTAATACACATTATTATCTATTACGCATGGCTATGTTAGATATATTATGCACAGCTAACATTTTCCACTTCCCTCTCTTTAATAATGAAAATGTCTGTAACACAGCTCTGCTCTAATCTCCTCCCCTTTCTATTTGGTAGCATCTGGAATAAGCGATGATCAGCCTTTTTCCCCCTGGCCAGGAGAAGCAGCAGTCAGCTATGTCCTCCCTTTACACTCTTTTCTAACCCTCCCCAGCTGCTACCAAACCAGTGGGGGAGGGAAACTTTCACACTCAAACCCAGAAAGCACTTCATAGAGAAAAAAAAAATTAGGTTGCTAAGGAACCATAAAGATAAACTCAAACCTACAAAATCCAGGAAAGACAAAGGAGTTCACATGCTCTTTTCTCACACACACACACTACTCTCAGTGCTCAGTCTGTCACATTATACTAGCATAGAGTTAAGGCTGTGATTATACATGCCCAGGACTGACTCCCAAAAACGTGGGAATCCCAGGAACTTAGCACATGCCACTCAACAATATCTACCTCTCTTCCTACTTTTTTTTTTTTTAAATTACATCACACATAAAAAGAGCCAAATAAACTTATAGTGCAGGCAGACTATAAATTCTATGTTTATCATTAGTTATCTATAATGACAGTAGCCTAATTAACAGTAGCAATGAAGATGCTGGCAACACAGCTGGACAACATCAGCATACAAACCGAGGGCCCAGAGAAGGCACAAATCATACCCTCCCTGCTGCTGCCATCCTGCCAGCTAGACTAAAGACAGCACGGGCTCAACTGCTGATCTGCAGCTCCACCTCCGTTTTACCACACAGGCACAGCCGCAGGAGCCACGCTTTGCCCAGGGGGATTTTCTTGAAAGCAAATTTATTACTATGCTCAAGCCATAAATAAAGCTATCTCCAGTGCGTTGGGAGGTAAGAAGATGAAAGCCAGAGGAAAGGGGTGAACACGCCAGTTATGCCTTGCCCGTGCCATGCAGACCCTGGGGCCACATTTACGTTGTTTTCAGAGCCTAGTGAACTCTGGAAGCAAGGGGCAATCGAGGCAAGGCAAGCTCCTTTCACCAGCTGCCCTTCGAGCACCGCATGTTCTGTTCCCCATGCACACAGCTATGTTGCAGCACCTGACATTTCCTCACACTTTAAAAGACTCTGGGAAGTAAAGAACATGCCACTGGAAAGGTTATATATTTAGCCCTCCTATCTCCATTTACCTTGAGTTAAATCAGATACTCAGTATGTAGCAATTGCCTGCCGTGCAGAGGTGCAGTTGTACGTGCATATATCCTAAAATCACATAAGTCAGCAGCCTTGCGGCTTAATGCTTCACAGCAAGGCTGAAACTTCTCTGAAAGAAATAGGGTGAACTCAGTTGCTAATTTGGCTTCATCCTATCTCGTCATACAGAGGTATGTCTGTGCCCTGAAAACAGATTCCAAGCTTTAAAAGCCCTTTCTTTTTCACACTACAAGTTTTATCAAACCAGCACAGCAAGAACATCATGTGCAGCATTTTCACGGCCACAGTTACAGCTCAGCTCTCACGTAAGGAGAGCAAAGCTGCTCAACAGCTTCCATGCAGGATGCAGAAAAGTGAAAATAACAAACCACCTATTTCTAATGTGACACTTCAGCTGATTAACACCAACAAAACTAACAATAAAGTATGGAAAACGTAACTAGAATGAGCAAGCTTGCCATGTTCATGATAAAGCATGTACACTTTTATCATAATTATGCTAAAGGACAGAGTAATAGCTTCCAAAGAGACGAGAACAACAAAAGCAAGTTTTTTTCAGTATGTTCCAAAACATAGAACACCACACCAAAGTCTCACTAAGCTCTCGAACTCTTATCCCCTTTACCCAAGTCTTTAACTGAGCCTTCACTACCTTACGAGCACAAACTTCGGAGGAAAGGAAGGTAAGAAGAAAAGACTTGTACCTTTCATGGGTTGCTTCACATACTTCCATTCTGGGCACAAATCAAGCATCAAAGATTGAAATTCAAACTGTAAAGGTTTCATTTATGCCTAAAGCAAACATCAGGTACTTTGCTACCATGGTGATGAACACAGTAAAAACACCTTAATCACTCCCGGTTCTGCAAGTGTAAAGTAGGGCTTGGTGCAATAGTTAAAAGCGTAGTGTGGCTTCAGACACATATCATGAGTTCACGCTTTAGAAAACAGTTTATTGAGTATTGCAGCTGTGCAAAACCTAAAATACATAAACAATAAATGAATAGAGAAGTTGTGTTGTGTATATTACACATATATTGGTCCTGTGCAGAATTGAGGAGTTGATTGATGAGGGGTTCGCGACGCAATAGCCTTACAACCGTTTGGGAAATGAGCCATCTGCTTGACTAGCATATGTTTGCTAACACCAAGAGAATAAATACTCAGCTTTGGAAAACTAAGCAAGTTATATCACATTTTTTATTTTAAATAACCAAGTTCCATGTTAAAGCTCAATACTCCCATGTTCCCTTTAAAAGGACAAACCATTAAAAAGATTCTTTTATAAAACTAAAGCTAACAGCAGCTGAATCGTTTATGTCCAACATTTATATTGCAATATATATACCAAATTTGAAGGTACAAAGAGTTTTCAAAGCTGTTCCAGATTATGAAGCTGATTTTGACTTTTTGGGACTACCTCCACCATCTTCAGCTGACTTCTCTGCTGGCCTCTTTTTTAACCCTTTCATTTTCCGTGTCTGCAGTTTACCAAGATCTTGCTTCTGCATATGGATTCGACCATAAGTTGTACCGAACACATCATGGGAGATATTCTTTTTCTTCTTAGGCTGTAAGGGAAGAACATTAGTATTTCTGAGTAGAGTGTGCCAGGAGCTCTGGTGAGAATCAAGTGCATAAAAGCGAGGCTGTATACATTGTTCAGAGCTTAGAGATTAAGATTTGTTCTGTGTGTTCTATATTCTTCCAGAGGAGTTTGTATGCCAACTGATCACCACAAAAGTGCTGTGGCCCCATAAATCTCAGTTGCTTTATATAAAAGTAAGCTTTAGCTGAATGTACAATAGAGCTTTTGCTCTTCTTCACAGATAGATCTGGAAGTAATATACTTTCCAAAGTATGTACCTTCAGGGCTTTCGGTTGTTTTAAAGACAGCTTATAAAGGTCATCTGAAGCCAAATGTGTCCTCCTCATAACTAGGTCTAATGAAGGTCCCATCTCTTCCAGTTCAATTCTTGGTATTTTACAGCCAGATTTCTTTAGAAGCACCCTTGAAGGAAAAAACAATCAAACACATTGTCCTCTGTGATAGAGATTTATCCGTCTTCCTAAAGGGTAGGTTTAATCCTATAGTTCAGAAGACTATTAAAAACAATTGCTGCTGCTACCTCTATTATTGAGAAAGATGTCTGTCAGTAACAATTTATAACACATTAAATCTGTCTCATCACAATTTGAATACAGCCAAAATAAAACCTGGCTAATGTAACTTTTTGGGTTTTTAATGAGACCATTACCATCAGTATTACTGTTAAAACTCAGTCGCAGTACCTTGAAAGCCATATCACTCCTCAAATTCAAAATAGCACCCTGGGTATTAATAGTCATGAAAAACATTTACTATCATTTACAGCAAAATAATCTGAGCGCTGAGAAAGTTTTTTGTTTGTTTTGAAGAATGACACAGACAAAACTGATTTTTTTTATAAGAGAAATCAAAATTGCACGGAGCACAAGCTATGAATGCTTACAGCCTGCTAACTTACCCTGCATTATGCTGGAACAACTCTACACATGACATCTTTTAAATGCAACAAACTATTGCTCAAGCCAGTTCAATTACACAACTAGGGGCTAAATTTGGGGAAATTTGACAAGCATACCAAAAAGTAAATGAATAGATAAAACACATACTCACTTATAGCTTCGCATGTAAATTTTCCCATCTACAGCTGTGAAATGCAAAACATACTCTAAACCAGCCAGACGAATACTGGGCACGCTAGGACCTCTGAAGAAATCTGAAAGCACAGTTGAAAAAGAATAAATGCCAGGTTTCTTGGCTGAAAACCAAACCAACAGATGACTGTAACAAATTTGTTTTTTTCATAATGGACCCACATCATACCACTGATGTGAATTCCCTGCCTACACAGATATTTTTATTGCATCTAACTAAGCAAGGCTGTACAGGGGATGGCTCTAGAAAAGCCGAATCTGTATGTTTAATGGGAATCTCACAAAATAACCGCTACTTAAAACTGCGGCCCTGCCAAAACACAAGAGAGAAACTTCACATTCCACGTGTTAGCTCCTGCTCTGATGAAACCATCCGTGTGTAGAAATCCTGACAGGAAAACAGTGACTTCCCAGGGATAATTTCGTAGCAATATACACGTTGCTTAAGAATAAGTGCACAGAGAAGAGCAAATATACTTTCAGAGCAGTAACTTAGTTTTATTAAGCTAATTGCGATCATTGCATTGCCTATTCTTCTAAATAGTTAACTCTAAAGTCAGAAAAATGAAATGTATCTTATGTTTAGGCCAGTTCATGCCCAGCTAAACACAGATCAATATAGTGAGGCCATTAGTTTACATATCTCTTTAAAGACATCATTCAACGAACTGATACTTAAGATTCTTAATCAGAACCAGATTTGGATGACTAGAAAGAAAGATCAAAACCAGTACAAAACAGATCGAGACTGTATCTTGTCTACTCTTACCTACATTTTCTCTCACTGACTTGGGGAAAAGATTTAGATATATCATTTCTTTCCTACCTCCCCCACAACAAGGCAGTTCTGTCCTTCAGGTAATGCAGCGTTCGTCATTACAATTAATGTTTTCTCTATTTAACAAGCAACACATAACTCTAAAAATATGACACTTGAAATACTTGCTTAGTTTGCAAAGAGAACACTGAAATACAGGTTAAATACAAGATGAGCCATCTGTAAGTGAGATTTTTATATCAGGCTATGAAAAAAAATATCGTGCAATCACAGAGCTTGCAATAAGCACAACAATCTGTCCAACATACGCAGAGGGTGGAGAAAGAATGTGACCTTGACTGAGGGAACAAGGTGTGCTAATAAACACGACAGGGCAATGCTGAAACACAGGAGAACTGCTAACAGATGCAAAACACATCAGTCTTTTCCGTTCTGTCGCATTTTCAGATCCCTCGGCTAGTTGTCTTTCCTCCACCACCTTTTTCAAGAGTATCAGCGTTGTAGTGACATCCAAAACAAAGTCTTGCTGGCAGATATCAGCTGGAGTCTAGCCAGGAAATTTCCTTGGTCAGTTAAATACTCTCTCCTCCTCTTGTGGGTTGAGCTTGTAGTTAGAGGAAAAGTTGCAAGTAAAATATTTTGTTTGCTTCTGGCATGTATTTTCCCTTCAACCAGTTCTCTGCAGGTACACAAACTTACATTTACAGTGGTTCTATTGGCAACATCTCCCGTTCATATTTTCCTGTGGCATCATACATCTTTTTACCCACAGGATGATCTTTTCCAACAAATGCAGGTGGTCAGGAATTTGTGTTTCCTGGCAATGCTGAACAGCTGCAGAAACCTCACACTTCAGTGTACCCAGAGAGTTGAAGGGGTTTTTTTAATGTACTCTTAATTTACAACTCTTGCTTCAGTTGGACTAGAGACTTGCTTTCTCCTTTCTTTCCATTCCTAGTTCTTTCTCTCCCTTGACTTCAACATGTTTCCAGAACTCGTAATTTACTTTTTCCTGCAGAGGGCTTCACAGGACCTTTCCATTTCCAGATCAAATTCCTAAATTATTTTGGAACATGAGTCTATACACTTTTTTTGGTATCAATTCGTATCCAAAAGCTGGTAACACTGTAACCTATGTAGCTATGGTTAGCATTAGCAGAGTTCAAACTCTATCCCAGACATTTCCCAGCCATCCCCTTTCTTGGCCAGAGAGGAACCCACAAATCTTGAGACACTCAAAAAAAGCCTATATGAAGAACAAGTTGATGGTCAATCTAAAATTGTACAGGTCTCCTGGAAACCAACATTTTAGAAAGAGTATAAGCAAGTCACATAGGACCTAGCCATTTTTAGGATGAAATGGGTGCGCAATAACAGAAGAACAGAAGTAGCAAGCAGGCAGTAAGAGATGAAAAATTTTATAAATACAAGCATAAGAAGTTATTCGAATTTCATGAACTGCACGCCAGGGACTTACATCATAAATGAATTCCTACCCTACCACATCAGTAGGCAACGAAAACCAAAAGAGAAAGAATGAGATATCTTTGTCTTCCAGGTCTCTAAGGAAAAACGCAGCTGTCATTTATTTCTCCTAAATAACTTCTTCCACTTCACAATTTAAGCACACTATAGGGGTTTGGTTACCATGAAGACAATAATTCACACTTGCCTTTAATTTTACAAAGAAACTGCTGTAAGATGATATTCCAAACATGCATAAACCCTTTTGATACCACAAAAGCCAGTGAAAGCTTGGTTGTTCACCAGCATCACTGGCATCACATTGCTTTGGCAACAAGCAGCTGTTAGCTGCCTAATATTCCCTCTGGGGTCCCAACAGTACTGCTACAGTAACAAAACATTTGCTGCTGTTGTCATAAAGACATTTTCTATCTTTCTTAGCAATAGAGTGGCAGCTTAAAAGCACTATCTTTTGCAGGAACAGAAAGAATCAGTTCTTCCCTGTCAGTTAAGAGGAGTTTTGAAGCAGGTGAAATTATTACCCAAATGATTTTAACTGGTTAGCAATACCTGCAAGCCTTTACACTCCTTAACCTTTTCCTTTGTCTATTGTTTTGCATCTAGGTATTTCATAGAAGTCAGCAGAACATTAAAACCAGGAGTACTTGTTGTATATTCAAGAAGAAAGATTGGGTGTCGATTTGAGTACATTTGACTGCAGAGTAATTAAAGGCCAATAAATAGGAGAGGAGAAAGGGCAGATGAACATCAAAAGAAATAGGACAGGAAAGACTAGTTAGTTATTTGGCAACTACCTAACAACGCATGTCTTCCATTTAAGGTATCAAGCCGTTTGATCATGGGGTGCATGAGCACATCTGGATGTGCACACCAACAGTGTGCAGATGCCTGAATAAGATACACTTCAGAAAACAACGCACCTGCTTCCTGCAGTGTAAATATTCACTTACAGTGACACAAACATGCAGCATTAAAACTCACCTTCTCTGTATTCAATGTTTACCCACCTTGTAAAGTTTATAAGCACAATTACTACCCTTTCATCTATCCCCAAGAACCAGTCAGTTGTATTGAGAGGATGCAAATTTTCTCCTCTCCTGCTCCCTTTTCTGTCTCATTCCAGACAAAACATCTTGCTTTAAGGAATTATAATACTAAGGGGAAAAAAATAATAATTCATTTTTAAGGTCTGTTTCTAAAGAGCAATCATTTATTTGTTTGCCTAGAAAAAAGAGCCCAACCAGTATTTAGTTTGTATGAAAGGGAGATTTTGTAAAGCTGTATGAATTGATACAACCCAAGAATGGAACTGAAAGAACAAAACTGTTCTTATTGGGCCAGTTTCAGTATTTTACCAGAGCTTAAAAAAAACGTAATCTACTTTTAGGAAACCTATTAAAAAGAAAAAACACGCCACCCTACTTACTAGATCTAGTTCCACCAAGCAAAAGGCATTTTTTAAGTGTCAAGAGATAGTACCATATGACTTCCATGTCCCAAAAAGCTACCGCAAGTATAATCATTTTTGTAGATCCCCAGGAAAAAAACACAATGTGCTTATCTTCCAGAGCCTCCAACCTTGAGATAGGAAAAAACTTTATGCCAGTTTGTTTACTAAGCTCCAATCCTGCCTTGAAGTTATGACATAGCTATTATCTACAGATGATTTTTACTGCACAGGTTCTTTCCAAGTACTCTAATCAATGGCACTTGTCAGAATTGATGAAATTTCCAACAGAAAATGCTTTCATTTCATTTCATTTCAACACAAGCTCAATTATACTGATTTGACTTTGTAAGCAAAGTCATCCCACTTTCTGAACTTAATCCACTGATTTCAAATTAGATACTTCAAAAATATTATTTGGTTAGAAAAGTGACAATCGACTACAAGGTAAAGACTTTTCGAAAATGCCAGAATTTTCCCACAATCAAAATAATGAATTTTAGTGTGTGCTGGTTTAGGCTGAGTTATAACACAGCGTTAATGTTCTTCATAGTAGCCATTATGGGGCTGTGTTTTGGATTTGTGCTGAAAACAGTGTTGATAACTCAGGGATGTTGTAGTCACTGCTGAGCCAAGGCCTTTGCTGCTTCTCACCCCACCCCATCAGCGAGGAGGCTGGGGGTGCACAAGGAGTTGGGAAGGGGCACAGCTGGGACAGCTGACCCCAACTGACCACAGGGATATTACATGCCATATGATGTCATGCTCAGCATATAAAGCTGGGGGAAGAACAAGAAAGGGGGGGATGTTTGGAGAGATGGCGTTTGTCTTCCCAAGTCACCGTTACACATGACGGAGCCCTGCTTTCCTGGAGATGGCTGAACACCTGCCTGCCCAAGGGAAGTGGGGAATGAATTCCTTGTCTTGCTTTGCTTTACCTATTAAACTGTCTGTATCTCAACCCACGAGTTTTCTCACTTCCACTCTTCCAATTCTCTCCCTCATTCGTCTATGGGGGGAGTGAACGAGTGGCTGCGTGGGGCTTAGCTGCTGGCTGGAGTTAAACCATGACGTAGTGACCACAAAGTTTCAACTTCAGAGTCTTTCAGGCTAGTCTTTTTTCCCCCCTTTCTAACAGCCATAATGATTAGTTAACTTTAATTTCATGTGACACGAAACTTCTGAGTGCCTGTTCTTGTTTTCTTTCCATGCTGAACATAAGCAAACATTTATTGACAAACCAGCATCTCCCCACAGATCATATTACTACAGATTTATGCAATCCTACTACTCAAGCAATCAAAATACTGACCAATAAGAAGGCTCTTCAGTCTTCTGTATTCTTCATTTACATCAAACACGTCCCCAGCAAATATCAACATAGGTTTTGTTCCTTCAGGACATTTACTGTTCTACAGAATAAGAATTTTAGAACAAAAATTCAGACTGTGTTAAGGGAACGTATTATTGATTTAATAGGTGGTTAGCCATTCAACATGGAATGAAAAATTGTTGCGACCTGTGATCAACATGGACAGTACAGATACATTTTTTTCATTGACCAACACTGTATGTATGGAAGGACTATGTTTTTAAAAGGGTGAATTGTATTACTCTTTGTGCTTTATTAAAAGAAGAGAGAATCTTTACTCTAAAATATAAAAGATAACACCTTCTGGTGAAAATGAATGAATTTGCAACTACTAACATGAAAACTAATTTTAGAGGCAAACAAATCTACTGTACTTCTTACACTGGAGAGTACATGGAAAAGGCTACAAGAATAGTTTAGTTCATCACCTAATTTTAATTCTGGCCAACAAATACATTTAGTTAACTATAATTTCTCTGTTATAAACAGTGTTATGAAGATAACACTCTATAATTTGACTTCAACAGGAAAATTCACCTTTATGAAACGTAATTTCTTCACTATCTCTCTAGACTGCCCTGCCAATTTATATACTGTGATGAGAATAAGGACCATGAAAATTCGTTATTTTTGCAGTGTATGAACTGCTTGATACAAAAGTACACGCATATGAAATATGTTCTAGTTTTGCCAAAATGAGCCTAACATAGTCATAAAAGGTGAATTTTCTCTGGGTTTAAATAATCAAGATTTAGCTCCCTGTCTGAATGAAGTATAGTTCTCTGGCAAACTGGCATTTATGTGCTACTGAAAGCTAAAGCAAGTTTCAGAATCATCTCAGCAGAGTGACCCTCTTTGGTTAGAATTTGAGAAAAGGACTTTCACTTTTCAAAGCGTACATCAATTTGTATAGGAACCTATCATGAACAGAACCTGATTAAGGAATTTTGTAAATGTAAATCTTCAATTAAAAAGGAAAATATTAGGAATAAACCAAGTCTAAAAAAAGAATTTGCAATGAAAGTTGCAAGCTTGCTTAAAATAAAATAAAAAGCAGAGCATAAAAATAACATTCTGGGGTACACAAATTAGCAATCGTCATATACTGCATGAAAGACTTTTTTAAACAACTCTGTCCTTACTTCAAAGCGCAGAAAAAGCCAATGCACCAAAAAAAAAAATCCACCAGTAGATGTCACTGAAATACTGAATTAGCGATTCCTTACCTTGACGTCTTTTAGGGATACAAACTTCTCAATGCCTAGCTCAATCATGTCTAGGACATGGTAGTCAAACATACGACCTGTGAAAGTAAAAAGAGAAAATCCAACTATTTAAATATTCATTGTAAACTAGACCTTTCATCCAGATAAAAACTCAAATGAGACATATTACCTATTATCAGGTTGTTAGGTCTCTTCTTGTTATGAGAGCCAAACAGAAACAGAGAACAATCTGATTTCTTGGAAAAAAATTCCTACAATTGAAGAAAAGAACAAGATTCATGAGTTCCAGTTTGAAGTGTTATGTTTGGTGAAGGTATATGTCACAAACACGAGTTTAGGAGCTTCCTGATGAGAAGAGCAACTGCACTTACCAGAAGAGTTTTGAGCATGTCCAGGTCCACATAAACTAAATTTGACAGCTGGATTCAAGGTTGCAATTGAAATCAAGATTCATTTCTTTTTTTTTTATTTCCCACTGCAGTCTTAAAGATCAAGCCAGGCAGTTTTTTTCTTGCCATTTTATCTGTAACACCCTTTTTCATAATTCCTCATGATTTGTTTTTACATAAGGTACCTTCAACCACTTCTCCTTGCCTGAATAGTAAGTATTTGCAAGTTGGCTGCAGTTATAATGCCTCATTTTAGTTCCAAAATACTCTCCAAACCTCTGAAGAGCCACTTTTGCAATCTCTTTGCAGGCCAAATACACATATTTAACTGAAATTACTCGGTTTTCTGACTGTTCTTGATGGAAGGCTGGAACAGAACTGTCAGCTGATGCATGTGTTTGCATGTGATACTGTGCTGGGCTTTTCTTCCTCTACTCAGACACAAGGAAGTCATAGAAAACTATGACCCCTCCATTTAACTATTTTAGCCTATGAATACACCAAACTGAAAACAAGTTGTTCATGAGCTATGGCACTTTAGAGGAAAGACTTTTAGAAAACGAAAATAAAATGCTTTATTCCTCCTTTCCTATCAAGCACTGTTACTTATAATAGCATTACAGACTCCTACATTTGCCTGTCAGTTTACAGAAACATGCATTTAAGGTAAAGACAAATTCCTCACAACATGACAGCTCTGTCTTGCAGCCGGAGGAAAAATATGCCTACTGATGCCATAAATCAAGACATAGCCCTACCTTCAACTTATCCAAACTCTCTATAAACTTTGTTTCTTGTCTAGTTCCTCACAGAGTAATAGCAAATTATCCTCCAATAAAGTTCTTCATGACTTTAAGGCTGTAAAATGTCACAAGAGAAGACATGGTTTATACTTACCAATGATGTTTGATCCTCAAAAGGCCTAGTAATATTTTTCCTGATGGGGAAAAAAAAAATTAAAAAACCCAGGCCCAAATAAGCACTTCTAATTAGTTCTCTAGTAACATTAATTCTGCATTCTACTGGAAACTCCAGCAGTAGAGGTTCAGTTTTAGTTCAAGCCATAAGCCATATTACTACTGCCAGGAGTTCCTTAGTGCCATTTTAAGTACTTTCCTCCACGCTCCCTGTCTCCTGAGGCCGGACTTCCAGAGCACCACCAATGACACTTCATAAACAACTGCCTTTGCCTGTCCATCCAATGTTAAATTTAGCTATTACAATTAATGTCTCTGCACCACATCCATGCAGATACCATGTTCCCATTCTATGCAAGAGGTATCTAACATTATAATTGAAACTCAAATTTATAAGAAATTCAGATGTAAGAACTCCAGCCTGCCCTGCTGATGCAGAACCTCACTAGCTGTTTCCACAGATCAGTCAGAGAAGCCAACTGTTCAAGTTTGCTGAATCCTGCTCCATAACACTTGGCACAGAACCAGGTTCAACACCAACACTGATCACCTGTAGCTTGTTTCCAGTCCCCTGAAATTTGTGATGAATCTGTCACCTTCTGCAACCCTTTCCGTTGTTCAAGCCCCCACGCTAGCCAGCATCTCTATTCATGCTTTGAAATTACCAAATGCTGTCTTGTCAGAAGACTCAAAGATGTCAAAACGAGACCACTTACTTTTTATACAGTACAGCAAAAGGCTTCTTCACAGCATACTGCAAAAGACAAAGTTAAACCCATGTTATCTCTAACACACTTAAGTGCACAGCACTGTTTTTTCTAAAACCCTACAACTTACATGATCACATGAAATAGAGTAATTGTGCAAATCAGTCTAGAAGGCAGCACCTCAAAAGACCTGCTCACAATAATACCCTTCAAGTTGGTAGCCATCTTGGTTGCCAATTAATTGCAGAAGGACTTATTTCTAGAAACTAAAAAATAACAAAATAGCTGAGAAACAGCTGAAATCAAAGCCATGCAATGAAATCTCTCTGCTTCCAGGGGCATGATGAAAAACAGGGAGTGAACAACCACCTGATTACCATCAGCATAAGATGGTAAGAAAACGACAAAGCAAGGAGAGAAAAGAGTGCAGAAATAGCTATAATATTTTCAGGTATGGACTTAGGAGACAGGATTGGTAAGTTCTAGTTTTAGGAGAGGTTGAAAGCTCCATATCAATGTGCACAAGCAGTTTACAGGATTCTGGGATATGACTTCAGCTGAGTGAGCCAATCCCAGTTCTGCACCTAATCCTCTTGTTTTCAAATGGACTTGCAACACTTCACCTTATATACTAGGCAATCGTGGAAAAAATAATAGCAAAGAGAATAAGCTCAAAACTTCTGGCAAAGAAGAAACGGAAAGAAAATAATCTCCATCGGGGTGGGGGGGTAATGACACCTTTGGAGTACTGGTCAACCTCAGACCTGGGGAATGGGAGAGTACAAAAATATTGATCTTGCAGCAGAGAATATGCAAAATGTAAGAAAGAGACAGAAGAAGGTACTCTTGGTGTAGCACAAAAAGTTATATAATTAGAGGTTGCATACTATATCCGACAACTTACAATGTCTTTAAGCACTTCAGTCACTGTTAAGTTTGCATTTCCTCCTTTTATGAGCATAGCATTTTTTGTATTTTCTTTAAGTTTGGGTTCTCTCTTCTCAAGAAATCTTTTTGCTCTCTTAGTTTTAGGCTTTCTGTAACAATAAATTAACAGTTATAAAACAGTATTAGCAACAACACCCGACACCGCAGAGAACAGTAAAACAAAACAGGAATTGGAACAAGCTGTGTTCAAGTAACTTCAGTCACTCCGACTAACCCCAACCTGCAGAATTACAACCAGTGCCAAAACCCCAGTCTCAGATGAGCGCGTTTTACTGCTACTCCTCTTCCTCTCTGTCCCCCTAAGCCAGCAAAAGTGATTTTAGAGCCTTGGACTTTTCAGCTTCTGCTAATTTAGAGCGTAAACTATACCAGGATTCCCACAGAGTGCTGGCAGGCTGAAAGCTTCCCCTCACACCAGCTCCCTCCCCGAGTTGGAGAATCGCACAGGAGAAGAAAGCCAAGTTCCTCAAAGACCATCAGTGGATCCAAAAGCAAAGCTCAAGCACAGCGTATCTGGTGGCAGGAACCAGAGCGCAGCACCGTGCGCTGTTCAGGTGAAATACACCGGCCGCAGCAGGGGCGCGCAACTTCGATAAATTAATAACTACGTGGCTTAAGAACTACACTTCTCTGCTAGGTTAATGTAAAGCTTTTAATATCTTCTCCGTGCAGCACTATATTTATTTTCTTCTAAACCGAACAAAAACCCGCACACAGGTACTTCTAACTATAGATGAAGATAGTTCTTTCAAGTGTACAGAAACACGGCCGCAGCAGGGGCGCGCAACTTCGATAAATTAATAACTACGTGGCTTAAGAACTACACTTCTCTGCTAGGTTAATGTAAAGCTTTTAATATCTTCTCCGTGCAGCACTATATTTATTTTCTTCTAAACCGAACAAAAACCCGCACACAGGTACTTCTAACTATAGATGAAGATAGTTCTTTCAAGTGTACAGAAACAGATAAATTCAACACCAGCCGGTCACCACGGCTCCTTTAAGGTACAAATGAGTCAAGGCAGCC